TGATTCAGGCCATGGTTTTTCCGATTACTAGCTATACATCTGAGACCTGGACAATGAATAAGGATGACAGAAAAAGAATTGATGCCTTTGAGCTGTGGTGAAGAAGACAGCCAAGAGAATGAACAGATATGCCTTGCAGATGGGGCAGCCAGGGTGCTCAAGAATGATAAGGCTTCACCTCACATACCTTGGACATGTTGCTAGGAGGTGCTATTCCTTGGAGAAGAACATGATGTTGGGAAGGGTGAAGTGTTGGCGAGGGAGAAGACCCTCAACTAAGTTGAGTGATAGGGTGACTGCTGCAATAAGCCATTATATGTCAGGAAGTGTGAGGATGGCACAGGATAAAACAGAGTTCAGATCTTTTGTTCATAGGGTTGCTATGAGTTATGCTACACTTGATAGTACCTACCAACAAGAACAATTTTCCTGTTTACTATGAGGTTGAGACTTGTATAGTTGCAACCTCGTAATACTGAGTCTGTTAAAGTTGAAGGCAAAAGGAGTGGTTGGTATCTTGGTAGGGATGATCAATAAAGGAGAAGAGTGGGCATGTATACACTACTGATTGAGACCCATTAAGGATTATTAGACTACTGGGATTTTAAAAAAATATTTCCTACAGATTCATTGAAGTAATTTTATATTTGACTATAAAACTGTCTGTTGTTTCTAAATTTTCAAAATTATTGGCAGAGAATTGATTGTGAAAAAATTAAATTTATAAACCTAAAATTGTCTCTTTTTTGTTTATTTACCTACTTTTGTTATAAATTTAATCTGAGTGAAAGTGTGCAAAGCAGACTGGTTTTTCCTTCTACCATTCATATGCTTTTCCCCTTCAACCATTCATACACACTCATTTTGCTTCTCAACATAAATAGCAACACACCATGTAATTGCGCTTTCCCCACATCTTCCCTGGAATTCTTATTTGCATTAATCCTTCTACTCCTTCCTGCTTTCAAGGCTTTTTTTCCTTGGACAAATGCTACTTTTTAAAAAACATTAAATAGTTGGTTATTCTAAGTTGTGAGTGCCTCCTTAGCGTTACTGGTAACCTTACAGGCCTGTTATCTATTGTTTGGCTGAAAATTGAGCCAAGGGTGTAAGGGTTTTTTTAAATTCAAAGGGTGAGTAGCATCTGTAGTCTTGGAGATTGCCTGCTTATCGTGTGTGTGTGTGTGTGTGTGTGTGTGTGTGTGTGTGTGTGTGTGTCTGTGCTACTAACATAAAGGTCAGTGGTTTGACGCAGAGGATTGCTGTGAATAGGAATTGACTTGATAGCTATGAAGAGTTTTGGGGATGATTTTATATCTATTCCTTCATTTTCTTCATCAGTATTATTTATGGTGATGAGGATGGCACAGGATAGAAGTCAGATCTGTTGTTCATGGTATCGCTAAGAGTTCTGCTTCACTCAATGAATGGCACCTAATAGCAACAATATTAATAAACTATTCTTAGTTTTCTCTGATTCTTTTCAGTCCCACTGTCATAACCAGATAGCAAGCGTTCCCTCTCTATTCTCAGAGAGCAGGCAGATATTTTTGAAAATATATTCACAGTGAGTTGTGATTCTGGACTTCATGTTGACAGATTAATTATATTGTTCTATTTCTATGAAGCCAATGATTCAGATTTACCTTTCAACGGAGACATGAAAACCTCAGTCCCCAGTCATTGATGACTTTATCTGTTTCTCAAATCCCTTATAGTTCCTTGCTTCAGTTCTCACAACTTTGTGGTTTTCTTCTTTGTGTCTGGGACATGAGGATTTCACTTGATTTATGTCTGGGACTAAGGTGTACCTAATCTAGGCCATGGTATTCACAATTGCTTGCTATGCATTAGAAAGCTGGACAATGAATGGTGACAGAAGAAGAATCAATGTCTTTGATTTGTGTGGCTGGAGAAGAGTCTAGAACATACCATGGACTGCCAAGAAAAGAAATCCGTCTGCCTTGGAGAGGGTGAAACCAAGTTTCTCCTTGGAGGCTAGGAGTTTGCAGCTCTGCCTCACATACTTTGGGCATGTAGCCAAGAGGGACCAATCCTGAGAGAAGGACAGAATGCTTAGAAGGGTGGAGGGACAGCACAGGAGAGGAAAAACACAGATGAGTTGGATTGACACAGTAACTGTGGCAATGGGGATTGGTGTGTCTGGATTAGTGCAACTGGCTCAGGACAAGGCAGGATTCAGAGCTGCTCTGCATAGGGTCACTATGGGTCACAGGTGATTTGACGACACATAAAAACAATAACAGCAGCATTTCTGGGTAAGCTGTGTATTCCTTGTATAATTCTTTACATTGTTTGGTTTTATCAAGAATTCCTATGCATTTAAAGTAGAACTGGTATCTTTCCATATCTGCTTAATTCAACATGTTGACCAGACATTTATATTACCTTCTTTAATGGAGAAAAATGCAAGAAGTCTTTAAATGTGTTTAAAGAAGTGGGGTTTTTTTGGAAGTAACTTTTTATTTTCCATGTTTCTCAGTACTGAATTTGAAGAACCACATAATTATGAAGCAACAATTTCATATCCGAGACACTCTGGCAACTCCATTAACCTGTGCACCGCAGAAGAAATTGCTGATTGTAAGTGTGGTAAGCCAATTAATATCGTAAGCTTGTGTGGAATTAAAATGTGTCAAATCCCCCCACTCCCTTTAGCTGAGGTTAAGAATGCACAGCCACGCTACTATGCCATCTTATTATTTTATTTTCTCTTTAGTCTCTTAAGGAAATAAATAAATTTAATTTGGTATCAGTGCTACCTCATGGTTCCTGTTGCAGCCTTCTTTCAACCACGTCTTTTATCTCTGGAAACAATTTGTTTAGATTCTTTACATTTGGTAAATATGTGGTGAGGTAAATCAAGATGCAGCTTTTCCTTTTCCTTCCTTCTTCTCCCATAGAAATTTCATCTCTCCTTTTGTTATCTCTCTTCAAGTCTCTGGTTATTCAGTGAATGAGGAGTGAGATAACAGACCACAATCATTAGGCACTGAGGTTCAGAATATAGAAGAGCTCAGGATCTTTTTTGATGAATCTGACTACTGGTTCAGAGCCGAGTCTTTCTGTCCCTGATGTTTCTGACAAAGCTCAAGCCTTTCTGTGTAGAAAGAGTCCCTTATAGAAAAAAGGTGAAGAAACAGATTCAGAGCATTTCTACAAATGTCTTTTCTTTTGTTTGCCTAAAAGCCAGACAGCCCTTCTCAAAGGGCATATGTATTAGTGATGGACTATACACTAATATTTATAGAGGCTACTTGACGTGTCATGACGCTGTTTTAGTTTGTTGCTGATATAGTGGTTTTTAGACAAGAAACTGAAGGTAAAATAAATACGGAGTTACACCAAGTCATGTACAAAACACTTCAAAGCAATCATGTTTTAAGCTAACAGACTTGGACAAAAAAGTTTGGAGATTTTAAAAAGTCTTTCTTCGGCCAAATATGAGAACCAACAACCTGTGCCCACCTCGCACTGATACCAACAAATACTGAGTAGAGATCCCTGATGCTCAGCTTCATTCACCCTTGTACCAGCTCCTCTGTGAGATGACATTAGCAAAGCTTGACTAAGGAGCTGAGCCTTTCATACATGTGGGGAGTAATGAAAGCTCACCGGTAGAGCAAACGTGGGCTTTTACTACCACCCCAGAGTAATGAAATACTTCCTTCTTGGGGTTGTATCAAAAGACAGCTAATGGTACTTTCACAATAGCCATGGATGATAAGATCCTCTCCCCTCTGTGGTATCTGTCGTGGCTATATGAGAAACAGTCACAGGGCACTCCTAATCCTCCTAGTCTGGGTAGCATTGGAAGAAACCTCCTGGGGAGTCAGAACTCTCAAAATTCTCAGAAGTAACAAGGGTTCCCTCTTTCCTTCAGATGTCAGTGGATAGTTCATGGAAAACCTAGAATTCTACATCATCTGGTAGTAACTTTGTAAATAAATCAGAGTAATATAAAAACCAGTGGTTTCTGGTTCTGCACCAGCAGCCAGAAAATTAAAAGATGTATTGTGATGGGAAAGTCTGTGATTAGGGACCTCTCCAAAGTACTGAAGATCAACGGTGTCTCTCTGGAGACTAAGGTGCGCCTGACACAGGCC